CTTTGTGATTTTACGAGCTTAAGCTACTTCTCACATTGTTTCTCTTCTTTTGCATTAAAGGTTTTAAAGGCATCCAATGCTTCACTCTTATTACTAAGCAAGTAGAGATACATATATCAAGAGTAATCATCAATAAAGATGAAGAAATCTTTCTGACATGTGAGTCCATGTCTGGACTACATGTATCAGTATGTATGATTTTTAATATGTTCAAACTTCTGTTGGCACCTTTCTTAGACTTGTTGGTTTGCTTTTTATTAATACAATCCACACATGTGTCAAAATCAGTAAATTCTAAAGTACTAATTACCCCATCATTTAATAATCTTTTAATTCTATAGAGATATGTCTTAATCTTCGGTGACACAACATAAATGAGTCTTCGTTAATATTACACTGTTTAGTGTCAATGTGAACATGCGTTGAACTATAAGTGATATTGTTTTATAAATTAATACAATAAAGATCATCAGAAAAAATACCATTCCCAACACAATTAGAATTATATAATAAAGTGAAGGACGTGTTTGAAAAATTACAGGAATATCCCAATGGTACAAGTCTGAAAATAGAGATCAAGTTCCGTGAAAAACTTAGAACATAAAAGGTCCTTTCTAATTTCAGAACCAAGCAACTACTTAAAGTTAAAATACATGTTTCTATAGCCTCTACATGTGAGCTCATCTTATTTCCAGATGAGATATTTTGCTCAATTCCCATTGTCTTTGTTAGGTTTTGCATACCCTACAAGGAGTTTGCAATATGAATTGTAGATCTAGAGTCAATCCACCAGTGTTAATATTTATATTAACCATTTTAGATTCATAAGAAACAAACAAAATTGAATTATCTTTATCCTCAAGTCATTTCTTGAATTTTGTGCAATCTTTCTTCATGTGTCCTTTTTTTTTTTTAACAGAAGTAACGTTTGGCATCTTTCTTGATATCAACTTGGGTGGTATTTTACAGTTCTCTTTCTGATTGGCTTGATTCTTCCCCTTCCCATGTGTTGTAGTCAACATTAACTTTCACCTTGTTCCATTATTAACTTCCCTTCTTCTTGAACACACATGATCATTAATTCATTTATAGATCATTTATCCTTTTGTGCATTGTATGAGATTTTGAAAGGTAAAGGTCTGTACTATTGTATGTTCAACGCATGTTCAAACTAGCACTATTGAACACACATAGTCATGCTGATAATGGAACCACGTATACCAATAGAAATTTTAGTCTTTCGTGAACGTCACGCAGAGACAATTATGTAGCTCCTATTTTGCCCAAGTGTTGGCATCAGTGATTTCAGGTGGTTCATCTTTCCTAATAGCACAGTCAATATCCATCCGCTCTAAATTGAAAAGAATTCTCTCCTTCCATACTTTATAGTTATCGCCCTTTAATTTGAGAATATCGCAACGAATACCACAGAAGCAGGTTGTGAAGCTGCATAATATAAAAAATGCTTATGTTAAAATTGAGGCTTAATTGAATAGATTACATGTTTCACCAATATAAATAAATTATGCTAAAATTGAATATAATAACATAAAAATTACACGGGGGCTAAACTTTTAATTCAAATATATTTCATTATTCCTTATGATAGAATTATCAAATTATGCACTTAATTCATATTTAAGTTTGTTATGAAAACAATTTGATATATCTTAAAGTAAACTTTATAATAAAACTATCAAATTATATTCTTATTCACAATTCCCGTAGGCAAATTATGAGGTAATTTGATATTTTATTCTAATTAATTATATAAATATAACAAAAATTCCTATGGGATAAAATTCATTATATTAAGTATAATTAATTACAATTTAACGTCTTTACTCTTTATGTTATCATAAACTTAATATATAATTTTATTTAATTAAAGATATTGTGGCTAAACCCTAATTAAATAAAACTATATAGATCACTTAGACATTAACTATTTATGCAAAAACGATTAATTCAATATGAGAATAAGTTTAATAGCGCAATATTAACTAATATGTTATGATTATGCATAAAATATTCTCATAAACATTATAAATTGCATAAAATAATTAACCCATGCAAAATAAATATGAGTGTAACTGTAACTTTTCATAATTTAATTCATCATGAAATTACATATATTATTCTAAACATTAACATATGCAAAAATTTAAGCGCACATATAAATATAAAATAAATGCCCAAAAATTAAAATATAGAAGATTGGAGCAACAAATGAATTCTGTAAAATAGGCCCAGTTAAAACTGGAAGTGTAAAATTGGCATAGTACAAACTAGGAATGGCAAAAAAGCTCGCCGACTCGAACAGCTCGAGCTCGGCCCGGAAAAAGCCCTTGTCGGGCCAGGCTCGGGCTCTGTGGAACCGAGCCTAAGCAAAAGCCGAGCCCCATTTTGGGGGGTCGGCAAGGGCCTGCCTGTAATTAATAAAAAAAAATTGAAATTAATAAAAAAAATTAAAAGCTGCCTGTAGGCAACTAAGAAAGAAAAAATAATAATCAAGCCAGCTCGGGCCGAGCCTTTTTTTTTTAGCCGGGCTCGGCTCGGTTCGGGCACGAAAAAAGCTTTTTTGCTGCTCGGGCTTAGCTCGACTCGACTCGTTGACATAGCTAGTACAAACTATATGTTATGATACAATTAAAACTTGCAAGTCATTTTATAATAAGAAAATTACGTAAACCCTTATTTTCAAGATTACAATTCAAAAATAAGGGGATAGAGTTTACATTTCAAAATTCAGATCGTAATTATATTTTTTAATTATAATTATTAAAAATTTAATTAAACCTATCAAATTCCCTTTACCCAACCCAACGATACCCTCAAATTCCCAATTCATCCATAACCATATCTTCATCATTCTCTCTCTACACACACACACACTCTCTCTCTCTCTCTCTCTCTCTCTCTCTCAGTCTTCTTGTTTCTCTCTCTCTACCCTCTCCCTCAACACCGTTGACGTTGAGGAGCTCCCGCCTCTAGAGAGCGTCGTCGCAGCTATCTGTCCTCTCGTTTTGAATGGCAGCGTCGATAAACTGGGTGACGATGTAGGTGACAATGAACTGGGCAACGCTGCATCGACTGATGCCAACGACGGTTCACAGTGCAACGGTAGTTCATCGCCGCTATAGTATCAGTCCATGCGCGGCTGTTCATCTTTGCTATGCACGGTGCAATCCATTATTCATCTTTTTTTTTTATGCAGTGGTTGGGTGAGATGGTGCTTAGTGGAGGTTGGGTTCGGTTGAGGTTAGGCGTGGTGGTGTGCGGTGCTATATTCGGTAGTTGGATGTTGTGTGTGGTGTGTGCAATGTATAGTGGGTGTTGTGCGGTGGTATGGGGTGTTATGGTGGTGTTTTGGCAATGGTGACTGGTGTTATATGCAGTGGTACAGTATGCTAGTTGCATTACAGGCATTGGATCTTCATGTGGTGGCGGTTTTGCGGTATGCTTGTGGTCGTCGTGATTGTTTTTAACCAATTTTGTGTTGATTGTGACCGATCATGACTTGAGATTTATCTTGGCCACAGACAATCACATTCAATACAAATTTCGTCATAGTTAGTGACATCGAAGATAAAGTTGGTCACGGTTAATCCATCTCCTGTTGATGTTGAATTGATAAGTTCATATATTTTGGTAACTCGTTCATGGAAAATGTAAGGTGTGTAGGTAAGCTCCTCTCTAATGTTAAGTAAGGTGCAGACTGATATCCATTCCATTATGGATTTGGAGAAGGTATGACTTGGGTTGTAGG